TATAAAATTTTAGTTTAACTAATATTGATATTCATTATTATAATTTGAAACAAAAAATAAAAAGCAGCAAAAGTATTCAGAGGTGATTCACTTAAATTTTACAAATCTAGAACTAATGTCAGTAGTCTTATATTAAGCATCACCTCATAGTAAAAGTTGCATGTAGGACTTTAGACTTTCTCTATTTAATGATTTAGTTACTGATTATATTAGTTTTCTATCTGCTGCATAAAAATACCACAACATCAGTGGCTTAAAACAACACGCATTTATTATCTCCTAGATTTCATGGGTCAGCAGTCCAGGTACTACTTAACTGGTCTTTCTGCTCAGGGTCATAAGCCTCCACTCAAAGTATCAACTGCTGCATTATCATCAGGAGGCTTGACTGGGGAATAATTCACTCCCAAGCGCATTCATGTTGTGAGAAGAAATCTTTTGCTGAAGGTCATAGAAAAGTTGTAGAACTGAGCGTCCTGGCTTTTTGATGGCTCTTGGCTGTAAGACAACTTCAGTTCCTTTGGACTGTCCACAAAGCCTAGAGGTCACCCATAGTTCCCTGCCATGTGGGTACTTATTTTATCAGGTTCACAAGGGAAGTCACTAGCTCCAGGCTGCTAAGATGTAGTCTTAGATGTTATAACACAATCACATCAGTTACTTCCTATATCACCTTTGCTGTATTTTGCTATATTTATTAGGAGAAGCAAGTTGCAGTCTCACCCACACTCAAGGGAAGGATATCATACAAAAGTGTGAACACCAGGGAGTGGAAATTATTAGGGGGTCACCTTAAAGTCTGTCCACTATACTGATCAAACAGTGGAAATGAGTAAGAGAATTATTCACAACTTCAAGAGAGCAAATGAAGCCCCTGAAATGTCATATATATAAATTACACACACACACACACACATATATATATATATATATATATGCCTAAGCAACCATCTGGCCTTCCAACCAGTAACGATGATGCGCACTGACCACCAGGGGTCCAGATGCTCAATGTAAGAGCTGCTGAGCTGCAGTGACTTAGTTGCTGTGGTTCTCGCGTGACGCAACTAGAACCAGAGAGGAGGGAGCCTGATTCCTGGGTGCATCACCCGAGAACCACCCTTTTGCAATCCAGGGCCCCTCGGAAGATGTCGGAGAGCCGGTTTTGGACCAATCCCCACAGGCCAGGCTGAGGAACCCCAGTATTCTTTATAAAATAGCATTTTCTAATTGATCCAAACAATGAGAATGTATAAATAGGATTATGAATAGCACAGAAGCAATAATGCAACTCTGGCATGTCCATTAGAAGATATTACCTTTGTGAAATTGGCAAATTGGGCAAGAAAGGTAAAAACTCGAACTTTCCTATGGATAATCCTGAAAATGACCATTACATCTTGGTAGTGTAAGGATATTTCTAGGAGAGCACAGTTTGATTTTAGTTATGGCTATAGTTTTCCAGTAGATAGATATGAGAGGAAACTTACTGCTTTATTTTGTAACACATTCTTTCAAGTGGAGAAAGAAATTGTATAAATTGTCCTTTGTGTTCTAAGTTCAAAGACAATGTGTTTTGTCCTTATTCCATATTTCACAACAATCTTTAAGATCATTTTTTGGAAATATAAGGCTGCAAACATTAAGTTTTATTACTAAAGGAATATAGAACCTCCCCTGCATTAGAAAACAAAATATCATGCATGTAGTTACTAGAATTGAAATAACAACTGAATAAACAGTGAATAAGCAATAACATTTTCAATAGTATAAAACGTTGGCTTGATGTTCTTCAAAAGAAAATATATGTTCAATATATACCTAAATATGATTTTTGTGACGTTTACTGTACTATGTTTCATAAAACAAGAAAATGTGTCTAGATTTAGTAGAAAGTATTTTAAAAATTGATGACACAGTTGTAGAAATAATTGTTCTTTGTGTTCTAAGTTCAAAGACAAAGTGTTTTTCTCATTATTGTTCCATAGTTCACAACCAATCTTTAAGGTCAACATGTAAGGAAGATAAAAATAATAAAACAAATGATCTCTATCTGGAATAGGAACTTAAAAATGAAATGTTTAATGGGTAATAAAGTGAGAGGAGAAATAATACATAAAACTTTGAAAAGTAGGTATTATTCAGTTCAACTAAATTGTTTCAGGGGCAAAGTCAAGTTGAAATATGTATTTATTATAAATACCAGAGGCCTGGTCCATGAATTCATGCACGGGTGAGGTCCCTCGGCCTGGTGGGCGATCAGGGCCAATTGGGGGGGAGGGACGGGCTGGCTGGTCAGGAAACTGCAGGAGGTTGGCCAGGTGTTGGAGGTTGGCTGTGGGAGCACACTGACCACCAGGGAGGGCAGCTCCTGCATTGAGCATTTACCCCCGGGTGGTCAGTGCACGTCATAGCAAGCAGTCGACCGGTCGATCAGTTGTTCAGTTGTTCAGTTGCTTAGGCTTATATATATATAGATTGAACTACCAGAAGAACAAGAAGTTGAAATTAATATATAATTGTTTTTATGCTGGTTCTAGAAAGTAAAGATTTTTATGGTAAGTGGAGAACTAATCACAGTTCCGTCCCCTCTCCCTTCTCCTTTTCCAGGGGGTGGGGATGGGGTGAGGGAGAAATCAGAGTTTTGTGCGAAGATGAACTGGAGACCAGCTCTTCTCTCTAGATGAGGATGGGGGCTAATCAGTCCCAGATAGCGATACATTCTAGTCTAGGCAGTCCTGAGTGAGCCCCCAAAGATGTTTTTAGCAATCTGACTACTTGTTTAGATTGATTGTTTCTTCATTTCTTAAGAAGACGTTTCCTGAGATAGAATCCACATATCATAAAATTCACCCCTTTAAAGTGTACAATTCAGTGGTTATTAGTAGATCCAGAGAGTTGTGCAGCCATCACACTAATTTTAGAACATTTCCATCACCTCAGAAAGAAGCCCTGCACTGATCTATTAGCACTCAGTCCCCAATTCTCCCCCATACCACCAGCTCTAGACAAACAGTGATCTGCTTTCTATCTCTATGGATTTGCCTATTCTGGACATTTCACATTAATGAAATTATGTAATATGTCCTCCTTCTTTACTATTTCACTGAGGTTTCTGGAAAACCTACTTAGGATCTATCTAAAAAGTCAGTCATCTCTTTCTTTTCAGATTTTATTGCAGTATTCTTTCCTCTACTTTTTCCATTACCTGTGCATCATAAATACTTCCAAACACCCCTATTAGCTCATACTGAATACAATGATGTATTGCAGATTTGTAGGCTTGTTGACAACAGAATTTGATTTCCAAGGACAATGAAAACAAAATGCCTTTCTGAACTTCAACTCACTTTGAAGAGAGTATGGCTACAATATGTTTGAATACACAGATGGTTTTTGCATTATCCTCTGGTTACAGAATAAGAAAAACTGCTTCTAGTTAACTATGTCTTAGAAATAGCATACAGTTTCCATTGTTAAACCATCTTTTTATTTTTTTATTGATTTTTTTATTGGGAGAGGGAGGGAGAGGGAGAGGGAGAGAAACATCAATGATGAGAGAGAATCATTGATTAGCTGCCTCCTGCACGCCCCCCCACTGGGGAATAAGCCCACAACCCAGGCATATGTCCTAACCGGGAATCAAACTGTGACCTCCTGATTCATAGGTTCATGCTCAACCACTGAGCCACGCCAACTGGGTTAATCCATCTTTTAAACTTAGCCCATTCATGTTTGTACTAGTGAGTCAGGGACTTTTGCTAGTCTGTTAAACATATAATAATTAATACGGGGTTGCCTCAATAAAGAGATTATAATAATCTAAAATGTAGTTTATTTTTTGATAGTCTTATTTTTTAAATAAAAATTATTAAAGTGTTTATAGTAAGTCTTACAAATCATTTTGTAAAGTAGCCTTTTAAATCCAGTGGTAAATCCTTAGAGAAAAACTGTAGTATATAAAATAAGAGTAACTGAGTTATGTCATAGTAGGATTTGTAATGACTTTTAGTTTTTATAGTTTCACAATGTAGATTCTCAGTGGGCATCTGGGAAGCTTAATTGTCAGTGGCACCACATTCTGTCTCTGCGGTATTTATGTGCATTATGCCTTCCCCCAATGAAACTGCACTTTACTGACTTTTTACATGTTGCATCTCATCTTGTGCTGGGGAGTTAAAGGAGCCAGTGTGGTAGAGCAGAAAGAGAGCCGGCGTCAGACTGACTCCACCCAGTTCTCAGTCTAGGCAGTGGTTCTCAACCTTCTGGCCCTTTAAACACAGTTCCTCATGTTGTGGTGACCCCCAACCATAAAATTATTTTCGTTACTACTTCATAACTGTAATGTTGCTACTGTTATGAATTGTAATGTAATTATCTGATATGCAGGATGGTCTTAGGCGACCCCTGTGAAAGAGTGGTTCGACCGCCAAAGGGGTCGCGACCCACAGATTGAGAACCGCTGGAGAGGCTGCAGGTGACTTCACCTCTTGTGCTTTAATGTCCTCACCTGGAAAGTGAAAATATTAGTACTCATTGATTCGACCTGTTGTGAAGATGAAATGAAGTAATGTATATCCAATAATGTGTATAAGGCCCTTAACACATGGCAAGTGTGCTAAGCACATGCTTAGTGATATTAGCCATTTTGTTCTCTGTGGTGTGGGTATAGGAACAGCATGAAATAGTAGACATCGTGGATTTTTCAGCTAGAAATCTTGGTTACGTTTCCTCTCATTCAATGATTCTTTATATAATAATGAACAAATTTCTATTTTCTCCAACTTAGTTTTCTATATATGTTATGGGGCATGTAAAACAATTTTTGTAGAATATAGGGATATTATACTTACCCAAACCAATGAAGTGTTATGCAAAACAAATACACATTTTTGTTGCACTTCCATAAGGATTAGAAACTAAATATCTGTCAGTAAACTCCTTATCAGAAAGTTAAATTGAAATCTTTATCTATCTTGGATTAACATTTTTCCCTGGGCCAGGGTTTTCCAGGTGACTTCGGAGAGAGAGGCCCCGCTGGTCCTGATGGTAGCCCTGTGAGTAAATTGTGATGGCCTAGCTTTGCAACCTAACAGCACTCAGACTGCACAGAACTGTGCTTTCCCTCCTCATCACCACATTCATGAATAAGCTCTGTCGGTCAGACAGTTTCGATACCGCTGTGCACATTCCAGTCTGTAATTTTACAACATGGGGAAATAAGCAAAAAATGTTTAATGGATAAACTGTCTTGAGAGGCGATCATTGAAATTATTTTGACCATGTTAAATGTCACTGCTCAAGTAAATTATTTGAAATATATGATCACAATATTGACTTGCATATGTGTGGGAGAAAGGAGCCTTGTTAGTACATGGAGCTACAAGCAAGCTGCAGGTAAAATTTGTGTTTTTAGTGATTGCTCCTTTATACTCAGATGTGTCATTGATTAATCTTTTTGAGGATTTTATGGAGAAGTCTTCCCTGAAACTCCGATTAGGGAATCCCATTCTAAAATGTGTTATCAAAGAATGATGATGGATTGCTACTTTTTTGACACTAGGTAGAAATACCTTCACTTTTTGCCCTCAAAAAGCATCCAATAACTATCTCCCAATTTATGCCATGCACACATTTTTTTTTCCAGAAAAGTTTAAGGTGAAATTAGAATTAACCACAAAATCCTTAAAGCCTAAATTAGGTATAGTTCCTATATTTAGACATAGGTAAATTACTAGCATTTATGCTTAAAATAAAGTATTTGAAAATAGTTTCTTTTTATTTCTTTTTATAAAGTATAGCTATATTAGCTTATTTAGTGAATTTAGTCAAAGTTTTATTTGTTATAATGGGGTCTTAAGTAGAGTGTTTACTATCTTTCTCCTGCCTGTGATTCTGGGGAGCTTCCCATTTCAAGCTAATAAAGTAAGCATTATTTACTTTTTTCTTTAATATCGTTTATGTTCAATCATACACCACCCAATGACAGGGATGTGTTTTGATATATGCATCATTAGGTGATTTCGTCATTGTGTGAACATCAGAGATGGCACTTACACAAACCTAAATAGTACAGCCTACTACACACCGAGGCTATGTGGTGTACCACTGACACATGTGCGGTTCATTGTTACTGGAACGCCATTGTGAGGCACACGACTGTACTTGCATAACTAGTGTGCAAGTACACTAGTATAAATCTTATTCAATATTTTGTCAGTAAAATGTACATAAAGTTTGTTAGGGTTGGACTCCTACAATATTTAAAACTTTTCTTTTTGAAATCTGTTCTTTGTTTAAAATATAATGCTTCTTGAGGAACATTTGCGTCTTTAAAGATCTTTAAAATGCAAGAATAAACTGGATATTTTCAGTTTATTAGTTTATAATTCTCTATAGTTTATACTATGCAGTTGTTTAAAAACAATCTGAAAGTAATACAGATGTCCCATTTTCCCCATTGAGCCCTCCAGCCCACCCTTCAACAATAAAGATAAATTTAAAAAATAATTAGGAAACCAAAAACCAAAAAAAAATCCAATTTATAGGTTAAAAAAATTTGAAATGCAAAAAAATGAAGGACTCTTCTTGAACCTTGTACCATATAAATAATGTACCACTGACATTGAGTGGATAAAAATTATCACAAAGACTAAAATGTGAATTCAAAAGACCATCATAAAGACCCATCACAAATCAATTGTAAGCCTTACTGTTGAGAATTTAAAATCTCATTTAAATAATTTAACAATGTTGGTAATTTCTTACATTTGTATAATGCTTTATGAAAATTTTCAAAATCTTTTATATATACGACAATTTTAATTATGATCTTTATAACAATGAGAACAAATATTCCTGTTATATAATGAGAAAACTCATATCTAGAAAATTTAAATAATGTACTTCAAAGAGTTTATCGTGTTTTTTTCTTTTTTAATTTAGTTTTTTCTTTATTGATTAAGATATTGCATATGTGTCATTATCCCCTATTTCCCCCCACCCCCCAGAATTGATAGTGTTTTAAATCATCTGAAAAGGTTCTTCTAACACTATATACTGACCAATATATGGGTTAGTTATATCTATAATGCTGATTACTAATGGGATTTATTTCCATTATTAGATACATGGGAGACAGAGAGAAATCTATATCCTAGGCTGGGTAGTCCTACCAGCCAATGGCATGGAGCCCGGAGCACTTTTGAAGAAAATAAACTGCCACCAGAGATTTGTACTTCTTAGGAGGATACATAAGAGTAGGGAAGTTTTTGAAGTTAGCTGCAGAAGTTAAAAACTGATCTTTTTTCCAATAAATTTTTGTCTTCATCTTTAGGAAATAAGCTTAGTATTTTGGAATCATATTTAACCAGTTATGCACATTTCTTTTACTTAGGGACTTGTAGGTAGCATTGGTCCTCCTGGATTTCCTGGGCTTAGAGTGAGTATCAAATATTATCCTTCTTATAAAATATTTTCTTGTGTATTTAGGTTTGTTATCTACCTTGTTCACATGTAATTTTCTAATGTAAATTAGACCAATAGTATGAATAAAAATATTAATGATACTTTATGATAAGCTGAAATAAATTTCTACAGATATATGTGTACATATGTATTTATTCCTGTCATTAAATGTTACTTAATCTAGAACCTGTCTCTTTAAAAGTATAAGACAGAACAGCCATTTCTTTCCTTTGAGATAGTTTTTCTGATCATCTAGTCTGGATAGATTCATATAGTTCTGAGCAAAAAAACATGGGTAACTGTAGACTTTATTTATGGAATAAAATTGAATAAATGCTTAGGAAAACTATCCTGAACCAAAGGTAGGAGCTGGACTTCACCAATGTCATTAAACATTTTAATATCAAATTTATTTGTTATACTAAAAGTATAAGTGATATATGTTTGTCCACTTAATCAGATTTTATACAGTGACTTCAACTCTGAGTTTCACGGGAGTGTCTGATGTAGGCAAAGCACAGTTTAGTATAAGCTGTTCTGTGGAGGCCAAAGCAATGGAGTCCAGATATGTAGCTTTCTGATCATTTTAGATTATTCATTAGAGTAAATAGACAACTACTTCTGATATATCTTCATAAATATATTTCTCCCAGCCAAACTAATGGTTAATAACAGTGATATGAATTGCAGATACCATATATATATATATATACTGGTATTTAGAACTATATGCTTTAACATTCAATTGAGCTAAAAGCAAAATTGACATACTTTATGAAAATAAGGAGCCTAATGAAAATAGAATCTTAAAAGTAAACTATTTATATCCACATGAACATAGGCCATGACCATGGGCAGAGTTAAGATTTTCCTTAAAAATCAATTTAGGACTTACTCTAACATATGAAGTAGATAATTAAGACTCTGGAATTCAATGCCATAATTTATATCTGTAATATTTTTAGCTTGAACTTGAACACTGGTCTTATGACTCCAATTTAATGGGTTACTTTCCCACCTTACTACTCCAAGGCAGAAGGTAACAGGAATATCAGGAGTTCAGTTATTGGAACTGTGGCAACAAGCAACATAACAAGTTTGAACTTGCCGTTTTGGATGATGAGAGTATAGAACTGAGAGTCAAAGAACCTGAGAAAGTCTAAAACATTTAAATGGTTCTCTTTTATGATACTAATATAGTACGAATAACAAAAATAGCAATAACAGCTCACTTTTATTTAGTACTTTCTATGTGTAATCCCATGAAAAATGTGTTATATCATTTAATTCTTAGAACAACCTAAGACCACTTAGCTTATAAGTGTTGAGCCTGGATTTGAAGCCATGTGATCTACATTTAGAATCTAAAATTTACCCTGGTGTTGTACCACCTTCTCAAAACTTGTATTACCTTAAAATGTATACTATCTGTCACACACGATTTTATTAGGCTTCATGAGAAGCTCTATGTAAAGGTGGAGCTCAAAGGACCTTTTTATTTTTCTCAGAACTTAGAATCAGGTTAAACCATAGAGCAGTAATGGTGAACCTTTTGAGCTCCGCGTGTCAGTGTTTTGAAAAACCCTAACTTAACTCTGGTGCCGTGTCACATTTAGAAATGTTTTGGTATTTGCAACCGTAGTAAAACAAAGACTTATATTTTGATATCTATTTTATATATTTAAATGCCATTTAACAAAAAAAAATCAACCAAAAAAATGAGTTTGTGTGTCACCTCTGACACGTGTGTCATAGGTTCGCCATCACTGCCATAGGTGGTAGTCAGCGCCTTATCAATGAGAGAGAAAAGGAGCAGGGGACGGAGGTCATGCCTTCATTTAACCTGTTAGCATTATGTTCGTTAGTTCAAAAGCTGCCGTTATTACTCTTAAGATTGAGACCAAAATTCTTAGCGTGGCCTAACATTTCTAGACTTTGTGTCTTGTCTGCATCTTTGAGATCCGCCTGTGCACTAACAAAGCTGTTCGTTCTCAATTGTCATGCAGCCTGCCCACTAGAGGGCTTTTACCTAGTTTGCCTACTTGAAACCCTCTACCTCTACTTTTCTGCTTAATGGTTAACTCATTCATTTTTTTTTCAGGTCCAGGACAGAGCACAGTGCTTGACACATAATAGTGCTCAGTAAAAATAACTGGATTTTCTGTTCTTTCTCTTTCTTCACTCACCCTTTGGTAAATTGGAGAGCTTCTAGAGAAATTAAAATTGCTAATGACACTAACAATCCTATATAATAAAGAGCTAATATGCTAATTAGACTGAACAGCAGAACAACTGTCCGGATAACCTTCCAGATGAAGCCAGGGCTACAAGGGCCAGCCAAGGCAGGCAGGGCTGTGAGGGCCAAACTCCTTGCACGAATTTTCTGCGTGGGGCCTCTAGTCACCTTTATAATCCTCATCTCTTCTACACTGATGTAGATGGTGTTGTGCACTTTGCAAAGTACTTTCTCATACATATCTATAAACTAGATAGAGCAGGTATTACTCCATCTTTTTTATGTTTATTACATTTTAAAATGAAAACAATATGAACACCTGCTACGTGTCAAATGCTGAACTAGATGCTAGGCCTAAAATATGAACAAATTAATATTCCTGGTTTTGGCAACAATTACAATATAATCGCAGAGAAATGAAAATGAGCAATATCATACAATGTGGTTACTGCTGTTATGGACTGAAATAAAGCCACTGAGAAAGGAGCAGTCTGTGTTACCTCAGAGATTCAGAGTTGGCTTCACAAAGGAGACAACCATTTAAGCTGTGTCTCAAAGATTGTGCACAAGTCAGGCCGAGTAACAAAGGGCTCTTGGAAAGAAGAATGCTGTTCAAATGCACAGAGAGGGGAGTGTTTGGGAGATGAAAAGTGGAGTAACAGGATTATAGCCTAGGAAGTATGGAGGGATGTGAACAGAATGGAGGGAAGTGACATTTTGAAAGGAAAAATGCAGAAGTTTTGTTTTTCCTTATAAATAGTTTACCTGCTTGCCCAGAACAGCAGCCTCTGCTTTATCTCTCAGGTGTTCCCTTCCAGCAAGTATAGTTTCTGACAAGTGATATTGATTTTTCTAAATTATTTTTTCCATGTAGCTGATTGTTATTGTCATTTGCTTTCTTAGTTAATGAGAGTGATTTTCTCCTGTGAGTGTTGGTGGGTATGATAGAAAAGCCCAATTTGGAACTTATAGTCTTTCCTACAATTTGCTCACTTATCTGAACTCTAATTGGCCAGTGGCTGCTGTTTTCATATAAGGAACCTACCCTTGGGTCTCTCTATTTATTTTTTTACTTAGTTTGACTGAAAATTTCCCTATTTATTTATCACTGTGTGGGAGACACTTCTACTTCTGTTGCTATACCCCAGGCACTCTTAGCTAAGCTCCCATGCATGGAATTATTTAGTCTTTCTACTTCATCTTCTCATGGAAGAAAAGGGTGAGAGGGAGGGGGTGCCGAAGGACCTTAGTTTATCCTTGTGGAACTGAAAACTGCTCTTGACTTATCATGGATATCATTCAGAAGACTATAGTTTTTTAGGAGTAGGATTTTCCACAGAAATTGTGACATGCTACAGAATATTTGATTTTTCTTAGAAATTTTTATACCCATACCATTTTAATTTTTAATTTTCTATTTTCTAAGTCCATTATAATGTTTATGTTTTTGATATCTTCCAGAACTTACTATTATTTTGTGATTTTTTAGGGTCATTAAAAAGTTAAGTAGGATGTTATGCATACAACGTTACATTTATCTGAAGATGCCAGACTTGCAAAGGAATAAATTTACTGAAATAAAAGTTAAGAATATTATATTGTCTGTAGAAAAAAACAATAGGATGACAAAGAATTATTTGTTTATAAGATATTTTCATACTTACACAAGTCTAAACAGAGATGTTTATTGAATTTTTAATACTATCATGTTTCAAATCTGTGAACTTTGAATAAACTAGCCTCTGTAGTTATAAGAATAATTTTTCCTATTGACAGAATTTGTCAATGATGTATTAATATTGCATATCTGTTTATTAAATTGGAAAGTATTACTCTTTACCTCTCACATTTTCATACATTTCAGGATTAAGCATGTTGGAAATAATTTATCTTAATTATATTTTATAGATTTTAGGATTTACCCAAAAGTAAAGATGTCATATTTTTCATTCTGAAATTTGTATTACGTATATGTAGACTATTAGAAATGCTCTATTGTGTTGGGAGATAGAGTTCTAGAAATCACTGTTTTTAATTTTATTTTTAAAGTTGATTACTTCCTCCAGTTTTCAGTCTATGCTTTATTTCAAAACTATTATGTTGGATCTTGGACATAATAAAAAAAAAAGTGAGTAAAACACACTTCTGCTCTCCCAGAGTGCACAGATTAGGAAGAAAAAAGTGCAGTGCAATATACTCAGTAGTGTAGAAGAAGGGCATTCCAGTAGAAGTAACCATATCTTCAAAGGCTTGGAACATGTGATAAGGGAGAGCATTTCAGAGAATGGAAAAGAGTCCATTGTGGCTAGAATGTGGGATTTGGAGGAGAGAGAAGTAAAGGGGAAGCAGGGACAAATGGAAGGAGATGACACCGAAAGGGTTGGTAGAAGCCTCATGAAACGCAGGTTCACAGGCCATGGCCACAGGCACTCATGGGAGAAGCAGAGCTAAGAACCATAATAAGAAACAAAAAGAGAAAAACACCCTAAGAGGCAAACAGAAAGAAGGAAGAAAAAGCAAAGACAATGGAGCAATAAGCAAAAGGAGTCAGGGGAAAATATATAAAAGATATAAAAAGGCAGAGAGAAAAGAACAGGAGGAAACCCAACAGGGACAGATGAGAGGCCGGAGTGGGGGAGTGGAAAGGGAGACGGTGAGAAAGAGTAGTAAGGGTCCAGGATGCTATCCTAAGATATTTGGATTATAACAAAGGGGCAACATTTTCAGGATTGTCACAAATACACCTTTAAAAGTTTGTTAACATTTTGAAATCATAAAAGAGAAGTTAAACCAACTTCATCTTTCAGAATAGATGATGATATGGTAGCAGGCACAGAGTGGTGGCAAAAGTGAAGGTGCAGTGACACAAAAATTATATCTGTTCCCCAAACCGTCAACAGATGTCCACCATTTTTTCAACTCTTGTTTTCAAATACCCTTATTGTCTTCTAAGATACCATGTTGAAGAAGTTTTTCTAATTCTCTTGTTTGCAAGAGATGATAGTGGTAGTTATGTTTTTAAGGAATCTTGCATTGGAACATTAAACTAAGAACCTTGACACTGATGACTATATCTTATTCATATTATGCTCACAAATGTTAAATGATAAATGAATGAGCTAAGCCCAGAAGAATAAAGTTATTATCTAGTTGGAAAAATATTTCAAGATGAATGTCATGGACATTAAGTATTATAGGAACTCAAGGAAGAGAAGGATCCTTGTGAGTTAGACCACTCTGAGAATGCTTCAGGAAATAGGATGGACTTTACTAAAGTTTGGAAGATGGATATAATTTTTAAATATGGAGAGAGCAAGAGGTTGTTGAAGAAGAGTGCACATATGCTTAGTGAGATAAACTGTTCTCGGTCAATCAATTAATTGATTTTACCACATTCTCTTTCTAATCTTAGTGGATATTTAATGATACCTTTCTTTGTTATTGCTTTTCAGGGCAGTACTGGCCTAGTGGGGCCAATTGGACCTTCTGGAATTCCTGGCCCAAAGGTATGGTTTTATTTGCCTAATGGATATTTACCTTTAATGTCTCTATGATGTCACAAAATGTCACTTTCATTTTCTAGGGTCTTTCAGGAAATAAGGGCGTTCCTGGAATCAAAGGTGATAAGGTGACTTAAATATTTACATTATCATAGAGATAATTTCTTATCACATACCTTTTTTTTTTCTTTTGAGCCAACACAACTTATAAAATACTTTATCTTAATATATGGGCTCTAATCTGTACTATCAATTATATAAATTTTCTCAGAAGTAGGAAAATTGAGAAATTATTTTTTTGTAATTAATATTTGCTTCCTGATAATATGGCCATGTTTGCAAAGCTTAATTGCTTCTGTGAAATGTGCTCTCCAGGGGGAACAAGGCGTGGCAGGGGAGCCCGGAGAGCCAGGGTATCCTGGAGACAAGGTAATTGGTTTTTACCATTAGTTTTAAGCCTGTGAAAAAGTACAAGCTCTTTGAAGAGTGTTCATTACCTGAACCATGTATTTTTTGTTAGGATATGGTATCAATCTGTTTTCACATATCTTGTTTTCAACCATTTGCTCATTTTTAGAATACTTGCATGAATTCTTTTTAGTAGTTTATAAATACAGTCATGTGCTGCTTAACAGCAGGGATATATTCTGAGACGTGCCCGTTAGGTGATTTCAAACGCAGGTAGGATAGCCTAGCGCTCTTAAGCTCCAAACCTGTACAGCATGTTACTCTCTGAAAACTCCAGGCCAGTGTAACACAGTGATCAGAATTTGTGTATGCAAACATGCCTAACATAGAAAAGGCACACTAAAAATATAGTATATAAAATGGAGCACACCTGTGTAGGGCACTTACCATGGATGCAGCTTGCAGGACTGGAAGTTGCTCTGGTGAGGCAGTGAGTGAGTGCTGAGTGACTGTGAAAGTTTAGGACATTACTGTAAACTACTGGGCACTTTATAAACACTGTGTACTTAGACTACACTAAATTTATTAAACAACATGAGATTAAATCAAGCAGAAGAGGAAATAATGCAATCAAGAGATTCAGTAAACAAGCTATATGCAGCTGCTGGTGTAACATGTATACGGTTTTACAGCAAACCTATTTTTTATAAGTAGAAAGAGTTTACTCTACAATAATGGTAAAATGTTTAGTATAGTAAATACATAAACCAGTAACATAGTTATTTGTTATCATTATCAGGTATAACATATTGTACATAATTGTATGTGTTATACTTTTATACAACTGATGCACAGTAGGTGTGTTTACACCAGCGTCACCACAAATGCGAATAATGCATTGTGCTATAATGTTATGATGGCTATGACATCATTAGGAGATAGGAATTTTTCAGCTTCATTATAATCTTACTAGAGGCCCAGTACACGAATTTCATGCACTCGGTGGGGGGATGTGGGGGGTCCCCTCAGCCTGGCCTGTGCCCCCTTGCAGCCCGGGAGCCCTCGGGGGATGTCTGACTGCTGGCTTAGGGGAGCGGGCCTAAGCCAGCAGTCAGACATCCTTAGTGCTGCCGTGGAGGCAGGAGAGGCTCCCACGACTGCCGCTGCTCTCGCCAGCCATGAGCCTGGCTTCTGGCTGAGTGGCGCTCCCCCTTTGGGAGTGCATTGACCACCAGGGAGCAGCTCCTGTGTTAAGCATCTGTCCCCTGATGGTCAGTGCATGTCATAGTGACTAGTCATTCTGCCATTTGGTCAATTTGCATATTAGCCTTTTATTATATAGGATATATGTGAACATATGTGATCTGTTGTTGACTGAAACGTCATTTTGCAGCACATGACAGGAGAGGCACATATGCCTGTTGGGTATAATAGCTTTTCTCTTTCCCCTACTATTCTCTCCTTTCAGGGCACTACTGGTTTTCCAGGACCACCAGGCGTGAGAGGGAAGCCGGGACCTTCAGTAGGTTTGAACTTTGCTTTGCTCTTTCTGAGTAAGGGAATGCACACCGTGGCATGAGTTGTGCAACTTGGTGTTGTTAGTAGAATATAAAAAGTGTATATAAACCTACCAGGCTGGAATTTTCTCTCTTCAGTTTTAGCATATATAGCTAATCCCTCAAGTTTTCCGTTCATATGTGTAGACTTTGGGGTCTCACCCTCTCCAGCCCTCTTATCTCAGGCCAAAACCAAAATTCTGTGAGCCCTAAAGATTTTGATTGATTTATCATTAAACTAAACAATGGACTTTTAAGCCAGAAAGTATAAAGTACTTTAAATGATATTTTAATTTTTCCAAATATCTGTTTCATTAAGAAACATTCTGAAAAATAGATAACATGTCATACTCTCTTTGAGTCCAAATATTATAGTTCCTTGTCTTCCCCCCCACCACACCCTTCTACATCAATTAGTTGAGAAAAAAGGAGGCCTTATATTGTAGTTAACATGAAACCCAACAAATGAGAAAACTAAAATTACTGAATAATTACAATTATTTAAATGAAATGATTAAAACATGAGTTAAAAGTATATCCCTCCAGGTTAAGATCACAAAAATTACCATAGCTAACATTTCCTGGGTGTTTGCAAAGTACCAGGCACTAGTCTAAGAACTGTATCTCTAATTTAATCCTTACGACAATTATGTGAAGTTGGGACTGTTATTATTCTTGTTTTATAGGTTAGGTAAACAGAGGCATGGGGAGTTAACTCCCTTGCTCAAGGTCCCACAATTAGGTGGAAAACCTAGTTAATCACTTAAGTCAGAGCCCATGCTCTTAGCTGCTGTCATACTGCTTTAGGATTAAACATTTTCAAATTTAATATTTTAATATTGATTACAACTCTATGAAGGTGAAGGTGATTGTAGATAGAAAAAATAGATATAACATTATAATTTACTGGTACATTATAATATGCATTCAAAAAGGAGTGTTGTTTTCCTGAGTAATTCATCATGTTCCCCCTAACTCCACCTTCCCCTCACAGTATTATTTTTGCATCAAAAGAAGCAGCATTAAGTTACAGAGCTTTATATACCACACTTTTTTAAAAAATATATTTTATTGATTTTTTACAGAAAGGAAGGGAGAGGGATAGAGAGTTAGAATCATCAATGAGAGAGAAACATCGATCAGCTGCCTCCTGCACACCCACTACTGGGGATGTGCCCGCAACCAAGGTACATGCCCTTGACCAGAATAGAACCTGGGACCCTTCAGTCCACAGGCCGACGCTCTATCCACTGAGCCAAACCAGCCAGGGCTATATACCACATTCTTTATAACTTATGTTAGTGGCAGCATTTCATATACACCTCTCAGGTATTATTTAATCCAAAGAACAATATTTGGTATTTATTTGTCAAATGAAATGTCCGTGGTGAGCTTTGCTTTTACTAGTTCATTACCCTGAGCACTCAGGATAAACCCAGTCAGCCATGTACCCAGCTTGTGCCCCAGAGTTGAATATCAAAACTCTGAAGTACATAAATAAGAGGCATGAGAACAGGTCATGAAGCTAAAAAAAAAAAAGAAGAAGAAGCTTCCATTTCTCAAGGGTACTTCTAAATCACGTAATCTGGCAAAATAATTTTTTATTTTGTATAATGTGAGGGCTTTCTAACTTTTGATCATAATAAAAGGAAGTGGTACAGCAAGTTTCTAAGGCAAATACTAAGTAATCAGTGATACCACTTTAGTTCCCTTATGCTTTACAATTAGGTTCTTGGGAAAATGAGAGTTAAGTATCTTGCATATATAAAAAATCTTTTTAATGTCTTCTTACTCTTTGATTCAGTTTATATTAATAACATGTTTATGGGGATGGGGGAATCACTAATCTGAAAAACAGACTTAGATTTTAGTCCCAGACCTGATACTGACCTTTCCAACCTTGCATTTAATCACTGTGGTATCCAGTTTCTCATCTAAAATGAGAGTCAGACTATCTCATAGTTAAGGTTCCTTGCAACTCTGAGTCTGATATTTTCCCATCTTAGCAATAGTGCTTATTAATATTTCTCTAGGCCTAGCTAAAGTAAAGGCAGAGAGGTTGTTTCACCTTTAACACATTGTCTTAAAACCCTTAATTTTTCTTCCTGGAATAAGCCACTAGAAACTCTAACTTGATTCTTTTAGGGCAGTGATAACAGGGGGGATTAGATGGTAAGGCTTTAGTTGCTCACTTCAAACCTTTCTATACTATTCTAATAAAAAAATGTTTAATGTCAGCAGCGATTACTTTGGTAGGTGATAACTGACCATCTCTTGTTTTATCAAATCTTTAAAAAATATACTTCGGATTGAAGATAGGGTAGAGATTTATGAATTAACTAGAGGCCCAGTGCACAAAAATTTGTGCACTCGGGGGGCAAGGGAGCATCCCTCAGCCCGGCCTGTGCCCTCTCGCAGTCTGGGACCCCTCGGGAGATAATGACCTGCTGGCTTAGGACTGCTCCCAGTGGCAGAGGGCAGGCCCAATCCCTAGGTGCAGCCCCTGGTCGGGCTCAGAGCAGGGCCGATTGGGGA